AGTTATATACAAGGGTTTTCTACAACCCGAACATTTTTACATATAAAATGTGACCAGTGTTTGTTTTTTTTTATAAAGACTGAGCACATATAATGAATTTTATGGTTTTCGAGAAGCTGGTAGTTGGTTTCTAGAAATTTACACAAATCTACATATTAGGTATATTTGCACGGACATCTCTAATTTTGAACTGATACACTAAAGGGATGGGAGCTAGTAAATAGCACCCATAGCCAACTTTTGGGTTACTCTTGTATGACCAAACAGTCAGAGTTCCAGTACTTTTAGAGCACACCCATGGCCCCAAAGTGTAAAGCTTATTTTTCACAGCAATGGGATGTGTGTGTGAAAAATTAACTGTTGAATTCACATTCTGGGCACGCTAACCAGTAGCCAAAGCTGATACAAGTTTATAATGTACTAAAGTGCTATGGTAATAAATGTGTAAAAATATACATACATATATGTATAAAACATACTTAAATAAATCTTGGGAGTACAAAAACTTACAATTCTAGCTTGAACTATTCGCTCCAAGGAAGTAAGTCCATCCGTACAACATTCTCTTGTTAAGACAACAAATTCAGAGAGAACATTGCGACAGAATAAATACAGAGCTGTTCCAAAGGTTTCTGTGTGTATATATATCAAAAAGAACTTGTAAGGAAGGCTTACAATCATATTCTGACAGAAAGCAAAAATAAGATAACACTGAGAAATATTATTTACTTTAAGCTAATGGCAAAAATCAGATTGTTAAAATAATTAAAAACATGTAACTACACAAAATGCTATTTTATCAACAGATCTGAACAGACCCTTAATATATTGTGTATGTGTATGTATTTGTTTGGTACACCAGAATTAGAACTGTAGCATATAATTATTAAAGAAATGTTTCATTAACCCATAATCATCACTAAATCTAAATGTGATTTTATACAGCACAAAACAGCATTACTATACTTGAATTAAAATCTAAGTTGCTATATAAAAACATTAGAATTAACATCTTTCTCTATGCTATGTGTTCAAAATCTCTAAAAAAAAAACTATAATCTTGCAATCAAGAAAAAAATAAATCAAAACAGCTTGAAAGAAAAGCAAAAAAAAATCCAGTGTCAAATGTTATATGCAGACAAACTTGGTTAATTTCACTAAAATTAATGATTTCAAGATCAGTTTAATGCACTGCAAAAATCATAGTAACAGTAGTGTGAATTTTCTAGAAATCCATATAGCCACATATTTCTTTTTATGTCCTTTAACAAAAAAAAAGGAGATCCTACCACATACAAACTGTAAGTAATGTTCCATATGTCCACTTTCCATGCCATTTTATTCCGGTATTACTCCAGCATTATTAGCTATGTAATGATCTCTTTAAACACTGATAAGTTTGTTTTAGCCAATCAATTTAAAGTTCAAATGAATAATAAAATCATGAAGGTGCAATAGTTCTCACTTTTAAGAGACTGGCATTTTCGAAGGTTGTATTAAAACCTTAAATTTATAACCTTATGCAAAATATTTACTTTATAATTTTGAAAGGACATAATATCAAATCTACAAATATATTATATAATTTGTAACCTCCAAAAAGTTATTTCTTGAATTTAAATCATCTCTAAAATGTCTTAGATCAAAAGAGGTTAGAGACATTTCTGTATTCCAAGGGAATTGGTAGCTACCTTCATCTTGGTGATGGATGTATATTCTTGTGTGTTTAACGCACAACATTTAAGTGTAACAAAAAAATTACAACTTTAAAACAACATTGCTATTTTGAAGGTTAATAACTTCCATTAGGGGCTTGAAAACATATATTAAATGTAAAAAAAAAGGTTACAAATCATCAAGATTTTATTCATTTATTCTTAACTTTTCAGAAAGGAAATTACACTCTTCTTTTTTATTATGAACCTTGAAACATAACCCTAACTAGAGAAAAAAAAAAAAGACTTAATACTTTTTTTTATTTTTCTATCAATCCTTAAGCAACAATTTTCTTACCTGGAGGATTTATAATCAGGGATATGGCATTCCTCAAGTGCTGACGAGCAAAGACATTAACTGTTGCAACAAAGTCTATTCCAGTCCGGACGCTAGCTTCGTTCTAAGTTGAGAATAACAGTAAAATCATTACAAGTTTATGACATTATCATTTCACACCAAACACTGTGATCAGATTTTAGTAAATCATGTGACACATGATTGTTGTATTGTAAGTTCAGAATGCATCAAATTAATAAAACATAGAAAACATAATTGTGGGTTCAATACTTGGTAAAATAAACACAACCATCACAAACTATGATTAAACGTGAACAGAAAACTTAACCAATTATCTTTCTTACCATTTGTTCATATTCTATAACAAGACTCATACAGTTTTTTATTTGAATTTTTCTAATTAGTTAACATCAAAACGAAGAACTCACAACAGAAGACTGCAGAATATCTTGAAACTGATTTATCAGTCGTGTCACTGCTGTTTCTATATTTTCTTCCGTTGGATCTTGGTCTTGTAATATTTGATGTTGGACAAACTCTCTTAGAACAGTTTGACAACGATTGAGAGACTCTGCTTGTCCAAGGAGAATAAGTGTAAGATCTTGGAAAGTCAGAACTCTGGCGACACACATAAATAGGTCACTCAGAAGATCTGTTTAAAATAAAATAAACTGTTACGTGTATATATATACATCATTTCTCAGTGTTACTACTACTAGGAAGTAAGCATACTTCTCAGCAAAGACAACTTTTATTCTAATTCACACCTCATCTCCTGAAATTTATCTCTCTCTCTCTTCTTCTGCAACCTTTCATTTTTAAACATCAGTCTACACTAGTAGTTACATTATCACAAAAGACCTAAAGTGTTATAAAAACAAAAACCTCAAAATCAGCATGTAGTGGAAGAACTGCATGAAAAAAATATTAAAAGGAAGGATCTGTAACTGTAGTATTTCAAACTAAGTTATTTTAAAAAGAAGGATCTGTAACTGTAGTATTTCAAACTAAGTTATTTTAAAAAGAAGGATCTGTAACTGTAGTATTTCAAACTGTTATTTTAAAAAGAAGGATCTGTAACTGTAGTATTTCAAACTAAGTTATTTTAAGAGGAAGGATCTGTAACTGTAGTATTTCAAACTAAGTTATTTTAAAAAGAAGGATCTGTAACTGTAGTATTTCAAACTAAGTTATTTTAAGAGGAAGGATCTGTAACTGTAGTATTTCAAACTAAGTTATTTTAAAAAGAAGGATCTGTAACTGTAGTATTTCAAACTAAGTTATTATCCTTACTAAGTACACACACACACACACATAAAATAATATAGTTGAATGTAAGATCAAAAAACAAAAACACCCAAGTTATCTTAAGACATAATAACTAAAAGCTTAGAAATTTCCAACTTGCATAAAGATTTGTTTGCTTGCTCTTGTAAAACACAAAACGTGTTCTATCACCTACATTATAAGCCTACTGACTTACTTCTTAGACACTTGGGGGCATATAAGGAGATTCAGTAACAAATATATTGCAACAATGAAAATAATAATGGCAGCTTTAGAAGGTTGAAAATTGTAAAACAAAGTGTGCAGTAACTTGAATTTTACAGTTTTTGACACAATCAACTTCAAAAACTAACTATCTTCAAACTTCCTCAGCTGTAAAATAAGCAACATGTACAGAAACCACAGATGTTCGGTCATATTTCATACGTATACAAGTTTCATTTATGCAGGTGAGATGTTTAAATATTACTATCCCCCAAATGACAATTAAAAATACAGTATATAAAAAAATCAAGGTTAGTATTTTGGATCCTTTTATTACTTTATCCAAAACAAAGTAAGTTTTATTGTACAAGCAATTTCAGCTGAGAAAAGAAAAAGATCAGAATTTTTGAAAATGTTGCTTATTTCATAAATAAAAATTCATTGTTGTGTTTCTAGATGTCTGAACCATAAACATTGCATTTCTAGGTATTTAATTTGTTTATAGCTCCTAAACTTGTATTTATTCTTCCCAATCACATTTCAGCATTTTTTTATCAGTATGGCATTTATTTAATGTTTGTGTTTGTCTAACTGTAAAATGTTTGGCTGAAATCACATTTACTGTACTGTCCAGATAGGTTCTGGGCTAGTTCTCAGCTTTAAAAAAGGAACAGGCCTTTTATTGTCAGAAATGGAAGATTTTCTAATTTTGCTGTATGCAAATTAGTTATGCCTTGGAAAATGATGAGATTGGGAGTGGTTATAAGTAATGAAGCAACCTCAAGAGGGCTTGAAATATTTATCTCTTAAATTTGGAGTGGTTATAAGTAATGAAGCAACCTCAAAGAGTTTGAAATACTTCATTACCTATAACCACTCCCAATTTAAGAGATAAACATTACTTATAACCACTCCCAATTTAAGAGATAAATATTTCAAGCCCTCTTGAGGTTGAAGCAACCTCAAGAGGGCTTGAAATATCTATCTCTTAAATAGCTGCGAGATATTTTTTACATTAACAATGTTCTTTTCATTCCTGATAATGATTTTATACCTGTTTGAAAGCTTTTGATATTCAACACTGATGAAGGAAAGACAACTTTCCTTAAATGCTCGAGTCACTTACTTTCCTTTCTGATGAAAGGTACAGAAATATTTTTCTCTGATAAGACATCAGATAATAATGTTGTGGTTCAGCTAGTGTATTAAATTACAGTCTGCAATAGTAAAATATTCTGATAACATAAGTTGTTTTTTTTTAATACTGTTAGGTCTTATGTATCCAAACAACATACACAAACACAATAATTTATCTACTAAGAATAAACTATAATTAGTAGATATACAGGGTATTCAAGAATTTTGTAAACACTTGGTTTGTTGTGCCTGCAATAATAATAATAACGTTAGTTATTTTTTACTTCATTCAATCACTATAGTTTAATATGTGCACCACAAGTTACATGCAAACTATCCAATGTGTGGCAAATCTCCAGCAAATTCTTTAGCAGGAGTAACATTGTGAAGGCTTCTTGGATACACTGATGCAAGTCATCCTTATTCATAAGTGTGGAGGCCAGCATTTTGATTGAATAACAGTAGGTATCAGTTAGAGCAGAGCAGCATTCTGCAGTATAACAAGATAAATATTTCCTCTACAAAAAAAGAACAGCCCAATGACAGCGCAGAGGACAACTGCTGTCCAGATGTTCACCTCAAATTGTCTCTAACATGGTCCAGTGCCGTAAAAAAGACCATGAAACATTATTCTTGTGCATGCAAAAACTGCATGTCTCTATGTTAACGTTTTCCGAGTATGCTTTTTCAAAAGCATTTCCAAGATTCTTACCTTGTAAGTTGATCTCAACCAAAATATCAAACTACCATGCTTGACAAAAGTAATAATGTCACTATATTGAAAGATGATGTCATTTTACACAAGTAAATCTTTGTCAGTCATACCGTATTTTTATGTTTTACAGTAGTAAGCCAACTGTTAAATGACAAAATAAAGAGAAATGTGATGATTATATAGCTAGCCAACTCTCAATGGATACATAAAATGGAAAAAAAAAACTTTAAATCTATGAAAGACAAAATATTTTACTGTTAGTTTTTTTTTCCAAAAACTGTTTCACAACAAAATTTCAGATATTTCACACTTATATATATAATATAATATATTATATATATAAAATAAAAATATATATATATACTAATATTAACTAATTCAATGACAACGAACCCACTTTGAGACTAATAATGGTTGGAGACGGCTTGAATGGGTAATGAAGAAAAACTTTAATATGAGTTTAACATAACAGCAATGTACAATGTTTCAACAAGGTTT